AGCCAGAGAGCCAGAGTCAGAATAGTCAGATCTCTTTTTAAGAGAGAGCTCATCCCCTTTTATAGTTGAAGGGGATGGGCTCTTACAGGTCAGAGAAAGAGAGAGAATGTATACGTGTGCTATCAAGTCTTGTTGCCTACGCTATCAGGTACGAGACGGTGTTTATGTCCAGATGCATGTGGCAGGCTCTACCAAGTTCGCCTGGTATGGCAAATATCGGCGCCTACAATATTGTTCGGGTTCTGACACGCTTGGAAGGTTGCATAGTGCCTTTCTGGCATGGCCTGGTGGCACCGTCCTACAGGTGTGCAGGGTATGGCAGAGTACGGTCCTCGGTATTGCGGTTTGACTTCAGCGACTTACCTTATCTGCTCCGTCTGATCCCCGGACCCTCACCGAGCGGGCGTCCCCGGTCGGTCGTTCCCAGTCGGCCCACCCGTGTCGGTCAGGGAAGAGCTACAAGCAGAGGTCCGGCGTATCCTTGGTCGGAAAAGGAGGTCGGAGTCTGACTGTGTCCCCACCTTGGCCAGGCCTTCCTGTCAGAGACCGGATCGTTCTCCTGGCCTGTCATCATGTATCTGCGCCGGCCCAGGAGGCACGCGTTGTCGCTACGCCGCCTGCTGGGCCGAGTTTTTGCAGGGAAGCAGGTCCATTGGGGACCCCAGGTTTATGAACCCGACACTTTCATTCTGTCTTATTTAATTGCCGCTAAAATAGTTAGATAGATAGTATTGTAAGTGTCTTTTATGTTTATATTTTGAACTATCAGTATGTCATTTGAACTATTTATATTGTGGTTTATGAAAAATTTCAAACTTAATATTTGAATTTAATACTTATCATATTATTTAGTGCCTTTATACCGGATTATGTTGCAAATTTTATAATTGTTTACTGGATTAGCAAATAGTTTATCCAATTGCATATGAAATTTTTTGTGCAGCACACCCTTTGATAAAAATCCTAGATCTACCAAAGAGACATATACCGTCCTCTATTTTCTTTCTTTCTGCTAAATTATCCCTTGTTAGGACCTTATTCAGTGATAGCAACCATAAAAATAAATGAACCATTTGAGAAATTTTAGTCTCTCTAAATTAATATAACAAACTTGAAACAAGCGCGGCGTTGCCGCGCGCCTGCCTATGTTAGGCCAGTCGGCGTTGCGCGATTACGTGAGAGTATCAGAGCAGCTGCTTCCAATAAATATATCTATTTAATGATGCAAGACTAATATTTTTTAACACATATCTCAATTTTTATAATAAGCGGGAAGTTGGGAACACCATTTAGTTACCATTGTCGTTGCAATATTTGTGGGAGAACATTGATGAAATTTTATAGACAACAAAATACAAGTTTCTGATGTAACATCAGTTTGTCATTGGTATACCGATCACAATGATATTATGGAAATCATGGCATTTCAATGGACATAGAGATATACATTGGTAACATAAAACCTTAAAAATTGCATGAAGAAAAATAAATAGGATACATTTTTTTTGAACCGTTTTTTTTTTCAAACGGAAATACATCATTAAAGAGTATATCTGGAAGAGCATAGGAGGTGGAGAAAGCTAAAGAAGCCAACTAAACAGTTCTTCAACGCTAAAGCTTTTGGCCATACCCAACGTACATCTGTCTCAGATGGGGCAACCAAAACAACAACAAAAGGATCGGATCCAGAAAAAGAAACAGCGCCGACAGCAGCTTAGTCCTTCTGACGATGATAACGTTGTCTTCCAGCATCTGTTGCCCAATTGGCTTTGGCTTCTCGTTTAAAAAAAACTGGCTTCGGCTTCTTGTTCAACAGCTTCACAGCTATCTGGAGCATAGTATTGACGCCATCCACCAGAGTGTATTTGTCTTCCTCTAAGAATAAATAGGATACATAAGTTGCGCATGTAATTCAATCGTTTGTGAACTCCATATGGAGTTTATGTTCAAATCACGGTCACAACGTAACGCTTGTTAGAATCAGTGTACCTCATTGACTAATCACTTTATCCATCGCTTTGCCATAGGTAGTGCAATGTGACCAAGTTTCGACGGAGAGACGCTAGCTGAATGTGAGCTGCGTGACCATGCTGCCCCCTCTGCTGGATCATTGGCCACTGCCTTTGATGACTCCACCGCTACCCTTGAATGGAGTTGTGGCATGGAGCACGCAACCGATAAATAGAGCAATCATCACTACCTGCTAGAAGCAATTAGGCCATGGAAATTTCATCAAACAGAAGCAGAAATATTGGATAAGGGTGATGAAATCCATGTGGCAAAAACTAAAATAGAATCAGCAAACTGAAATCCATGGAACATCTGAATCTTCAACACAATCCAGGCCATGACAATGAAATTGTCAGCAACAGAGGTATTGGATAATATTGCAGAGTTTTATGTTGTGAGTTCTATCATCGAAATTATCTGATATATGCATAGGTGTTGATAAAATGTGCAAGTTTGAGCATTGAAAAACCGGACTATCAATCATTTCAGATACTGAGTTGCAGTGAAAGCAATGTACTATAAGGCCAAACTTGTAAGATGGTGATTGCAAGTAAAGGGAGATGAAGCATCTTCTGAGGTTGCCCCAAACAAAGCTAGTCCTAATCCTATAATATATAACTACCTAGCATCAAAATATATTACTACCCCCAGCTTAATTAAAAGCTATATTATTTTTCAACACTAAGATGTTTTTGCCTAAGTCCTAAAATCATGCTGCTGTATACAATTGGCAAGGGCAGATAACCTCTCAGGAAAGCAGTTCCTCGGATGTTGAAGCTCTGCAAGAGTTTGAAAGCACACCGAGGACACAGATCGTACTATTTAAAAGCATGCCATTAAATACAATCTGAAGTGATCAACACAAATGATTTTAGAAGTGCATCACACAGTATGTGTACCTCCTAGTTGACATGGTGCTGCCCAGGCACATCTTAAGTGTTTTTTTTTCATTCTGCAAAATTCAACCAGCAAGTCTTTTAGTCAAGAAAAAGGCACATGAGAGGTGTTTCAAGGTAGAAATGGATTGAAACTTAGTACGTTTTAGTAGATTCTAATGAATCAAAGACCAAAGTTTTCTATTAGATAAAAAAGCCCTTCATATGAATAGTATAACTGTCCACTAAAGAGAGCTAAACCTTGTAGTCATTTGATCGAGCACATGGTGGGTGTCGTCCATGTGAGTGTCCCTACTCCCAAGCAGCTGCTGGGGCATTAGGTGGCGCGCTCTACGGCGTGGGAGGGAGCACAGAGGCATGGGGAAGCTGCATAGCGCCGGCGCTACTTGCCTTCTTCCTCATGGGAGCCATGCTCAGCTTCTTTTCCACAACAGCGACAGTGTGGATGCCGAAAGTCAGTGCTACCTTGAAGTAGCGTGGGCATCCACGGTTGCATCAGTTGGCTCCTCCATGTGCGGTACAAGGCCACGACAAGCTAGGCATCGTTGAGCGAGGAAGATGCTGCTATGTGGAGGCTCTGGAGCGTCGAAAATGTGTGGAGCAGGCGCCCCAGCACCGCGACGTGCAGTGTTACGCGCTGACCAGAGTACGGCGGAAATCTCGCATGTCTCCAAGGAGCCCCGCTGCTGCCTGGGCGCCTCCTTGCGTGGCCGTCCTGGTGCCGCCCGCAGCATCTCCGCACGGGACAGGCGCCTATGGCTCGGCCGTCCAGGTTGCAGGGTCGAGGCCGCCTCGCGACGACAGTCGCCTGCATCGGTCCTCCGTGTCGCCATAGGTCGCTACGCCGGCCAGGTCTACGTCTACCTCTTGGCCGGACGGATCTGGCTCGCCGGGCTGCGGGGGAGGGACTGGAGTAGGGAGGGGGCGGCAGCGGCATTGCGGGGCGACGTCGAGGAGGATGGGGGAGAGGTAGAAGGGCCGCTGGGCCCCACTCGCGCCGGCGCAGCGCCCGCAGGGCTGCCGTCGCCTGGCACCCGCCGCCGCATCCGGAGGGAAGGGGGGGAGAGAGAGAGGAAGGGGAGGGCGAGATGGAGGTGAGAGGTAGGCGAGGGAGAGCAGCGGTGGAGGAGGACGAGGCACAGGAGGAGGAGTTCGAGGTCTTTTTTGAAAAAAAAAAAACTGCGAGGAGGCCTGGATTGCGGGTTGATTTGACTAAAGCTTGAGGTTTTGTTTGCAAAAAGACTGTGGCTCGCCTGATCTGCGCCGTCCGCGCGTCCGATCGAACGGCCTCGAAAAGTACGCGACGTGGCACGCTGGCTGGCCAGCTTTTGGAGGCAGGATTCATATAAGAAGATTGGAATTAAACGAAAACAAAAATTTCCTAACATCATGACAAATCCAAGATCTAATCATAAAAATTGTTCAAAAATCCTGACATATTCACTAGAAAATAAAATCCTGACAGTGTTAAAATATCCTAATGAATTCATGTAAATTGGAAAATAAATAAAAATTTCACTAGAACATCATGCCATATTCAAGATCTAATCATAAAAATTATTCAAAAAATGCAACATACATCATAGTTACATCAAGCTCATCATGAATTCGATACATATTAATCCCCATCTGTGACCAAGAATATTCTCAGTGGTTTCTATATTTAAGACTAACCGCTTCAACTATAACTACAAGAAAAGAAAAATATAGTATATAGGATAGAAATATGAGAGCAACGTACTTTTCTCTATTCTATCAGTTCTATCTTTTTTTGAGCAGTTTTTTTTTTTTTTGAGAAATTTTGAGCAGATTCTATCGGTTCTTTCTTTTTTTTTTAGTTTGAGAATCTCAAACTTTATTATCTGGTTTGAGAATAAGAAGTACACAGCATGCACAAGTGCACGAGCCGCCGGGCCGACATGGACCGGCTATCGGTCCACTATCTCGAACGAGGAGGAGCACGTCGTGGTCCGTGGGCTTGCGCGCGTGCTGTTGCTGAAGGCTCCCACGCGAACCAGCTGTCTTTTGCCGCCGCAGCCGCCTCGCTCCGCCGGCGCGACTCCAGCCGCCGCGTGCCCCTTCTCTCCCCACCCGATGCGGGCCCTCGCGCGCGCCGCGTCGCTGCTCCGCCACGCCGCGGTGTCCGCGCCCACTACGGGGGCGCTGCACCACCCGCCGCTGGGCGTAGGCTCGTGCCTCGCGAAGGTCTGGACCCCTCTCTCCTCCCCTTCCCCTGTCCTCGGTGCGGCGGTGCGCCGTCGCCTGGCTCTCCACGGCGGTGCTGGCGGTGGGCTGAGTCTGCTCGCCGCCTCGGTAGGGTACTAGGGTTTACGAGTGGGTTTGTAACGAGGGATTCGGGTGGGCCGTTGCCGCCACTGTCTATGGGCAAGTGCTAAGCTTAAGCAGCTGCTGCTCTCGCGTTCGGATGCTTGGTCCCTTGTAGGATGGGGAATGGGCCTGCTTCAGGCTAGAGTTGTGGTTTAGGTTCAAGATTGCTCTGCCACTTGCCTGAATCCTCCGTATAGTTCCTTTGTTCAACGTACTTAAGCTTCCAACTGAAGTTATCCAAAATCAATCTCCCAGTGTTTGATCTGTCAAACAAAGTGACTTTCTCCCCTCTACACTTAAATCCACAACTTTTGGGAACAACAAAAGCATTGTGTCACCTGTAACAATTCCACTATGCCTCTGCACAGGACCCATAGAGTCAGCCTTGCCTCTGCACAGGACCCATAGAGTCAGCCTGACCTTGTCTTGATTTTAACCGAAGAAGTACAACCATATTGACTGTGAGCGAAAGGCTAATAATGATAACCCAGGTCAGGACTAGCTAATATTGTCATGAAGTTCTGATGATACAACCATCAGTTCAGGAGGGCACAGTGCATGAAAATCGCAGAAATAGTAAGTATGAAGAAGTAAAATGAACTTCATATTTTCCCTAGTAAGCCACTCCCTCGAACAACAACCTAGTTCTCTGTACAGCCTAACGTGCTGTTCAGTTTGCCCAGGACTAAAATTGCTATGACTCCATTCCTGAAGCTTCACTAAACCACCTCCACAAGAGTTTAGGCAGCGAACCTCTACTGTACCTGACTCCCTCACTCCCATCATGATGCTCATTTCTTCAAACACTTGGTCTGTGGTGTTGCTTAGCCACATGAAGCTATCAACAAAAGCAGGCAACATGCCCACTGTTTCTACACCATACTCGAGTAAGAGAGGAAAAGAGACACTGATATTGCTAGGGATCTTATTGGCATCAAGCTCAATCACTGATTCAGTGCTCTCGTTATCCATGTAATCTGTGTCCCCTACAAATTTCTGCAATAATCCATGGCACAGATGAAGGTCCTGCAACATCTCCACATCCCACAAGACATCATTGCTAAGCATTTCATCGAACTCATACACAGCATCCATGCCAAGCTCCAAGAGAAGAGGAGCACTGCTGTAATGAGTGAGAATGTCGTCTATGGGCCTTGACCATTTGCTTGCTGTCCTCACCAGCCAAGTGCTCTCCATTTGCAGTTACTTGCTGAAAATAACCACCTTGTGAGTCAAGGTTGTGCAGCAGCTCATCATCCCACACAACCTCTGAAGTAAGCAATTCACTGAACAAATCGAACCTGTTAGCACTTTGGGGTATTAAGATTTCAACATAGAATTTCTTATTTTTTTTGCCAAGATCTAGCTTATTACATCCAAACATCTGTTAAGAAGTCTATTTCCTTTCTCTCCGTTTGAAAATGTGTTTTTGGTATATTTGATTGCACGTGAGTTTGCATTGACTTTTGTTTTAAATACTTGTTCCATTTCTAGAATCTGCTAGGTTTCTTTTTCAATGGGTATTCTACTCTTTTGGCTCCACAAAGTGAAGTGCTGATTCCACCAGAACTTCTTTCTAGCAGGACTGTGTGGACACCAGATCGGGAGCTTGGTAAGTTCTCCCCCTATTGACTAGTTTCAAATCACCATTTTAGTGGCATTTCTCTCAATAGTAGTCTTCTCAATTTTCTTTTAACGACAAATGATCTATCATATGACTTACCATCTTATCTTTGGTCAGCTAAAGCTTTGCTTACTGTTTGTTACCTAATTGGACCAAAATTTGACATGAATGAAACTTCACTTCACTTCTGCATTATTGCAGTTATTCATGAATAATGCTTATTTTCTTTTGAATTAAGAATATGCTGAATTTTGATTCCTCTAACTTGTTATAATATTGCAGGGCAGTATGAAGACCTGGTAGCTAGGGTTACAAACTTCCATAATGAGGACAAGGGCTTCATGGTTTTGGATGGTGATGTTTTTGATGTTCCAATTAGGAAGGATATTGTTCACTGGGTAGTAAGGTGGCAGCTTGCTAAAAGACAGCAGGTGCACCAATAGGATCACTCAATTATATTTTTACTTGGCCTTCACTTATGGAATTCTTGGACTGATGTATATCATCTTGACAAAATAACAGTTCTGTATTCTAATAAATTAGGCCCTTCTTTGTTTTTACAGGGGACACACTCAACTAAAACTATCAGTGAAGTGAGTGGCACCGGAAGAAAGCGTTACAAGCAAAAAGGAACTGGAAGAGCACGGCATGGAACACTGTGTGGTCCCAAGTTAGTAATATAACTGAATGAATAATGATACACATATTCGTATTGAGATTGCTTGAAACATATTATCCCAGTTTGGAGTTCAGTCAACTAAATTATGAACATAACAGTTCCGTGGTGGTGCAACCATGCATGGACCTAAACCACGAAGCCATGCAATCAAGCTGCAGAAGAAAGTACGGCGGCTGGGGCTTAAGATTGCCTTGTCTGCTCGTACTGCAGAGGGGAAGGTATTTGCTATCTACTACTCCCTCCGTCCAAAAATGGTAATCGTATTAGACTAGAGGAAAAATAACTATAAATTTGACCAACAATTAGTCAAATTATATAAAAGTTTAGAGCATAAAACTTACATTAATAGATTCGTGATAAAAGTTCCTCTAAGATGATATTGATTTTTCAGCCGCTGACTTTATATTATAAGTGAAATTAATGATCAAAATGTATTTTGTATGACTTTTCCTCTGGTCTAATACAATTGCCATTTTTGGACGGAGGGAGTATATGCTTTGATGTGCTCACTTTTGGTTAATAACTATTATTATATCTACAAAATTATTATTGACAAATGAATTGCTATACTTATCATAGTTTAATAGTGTGCTCTACGAGGAAACATGCTTACCAAATGTTTTAAAACTAGACGACTTGCAATTTTTCACAAAATGACATATTTGTAAATGTTATAATTGAACTCCTTTTAATATCTTGACTTTCTAGATCCTCTTTCGTCTTTAGGATGATATAGGATAAGTTGCTAACCACATGTGTAGTTATCTTGTAAATAACTATGAGCTGAGTAGTGTCGATTAATATCTTATACATGGCGCCCTGTGTCCTGTTGTCCCCATTGCATATTTAAGCCTGAATTTATATATGAACAGGCTGTTCTCTTAGATGGGGCGATTAAATGACATTACCATCAACTTAAATTTCTAGGATCATGGTTTCACGACAGGTTCAATTGTTGCCAGATTTTACTGTAAGCAGACTATGTTTTCCTACCTTCCTAAACTGCATTGTTGTTTACTAAAATCTATTTAGCGGTATGACGAAACATGTTTGTTTTGCGCAATGTTTTCTGGTGTGGCTCTTAGGCCATTCTCAGTGGAAGATTTCATATTGATGTTTCCAATAGTGCCTCATGTGCAATAGTGTATTGAAATGATGAATGAAATGGTCCAGTGTTATTAAGTTGTCGAATGTTGATTAATCGGACTGATCGGTCCTATGACTCTGATTATGTCCACTGACTCGATTTGTTCGACCAGATTCCAAGTCGACCTACTAACCATCGCTTAATCGTGACTAGGCATCTGATTAAGATGGAAAAGGACTAGCTTTCATGTTGTGCATTGGGCTGCCTGAGAAACTGGGCTTCGGCAAGCTGGTGGGCTGGCCATTTGGCACATTAGGTTTTAGAATATATACCTATCCAGAGTAGCCCAGGAGCAGGAGGTTTCCTCCTGTGTGCTGCACCGCTGTCCAGTCGCTGCCGCACCACCCAAGAGCTTGCTGCTGTGCCACCCAAGAGCTGGCCGCTGCCCAGGAGTTTGGCCACTGGTTCATATCCCTGCTGGGGCTTGACCTGGACCTCTTCCACAAATCTCCATTGGCTCCCATTGCTGCAGGGTGCCTGCATGCCTCCGCTGAGCGCAACCATTGCCGGAGGCCAGATTCCATCCCGCAGGCAACAAACAGCCTGAATTCTGCCACTGCCCACCAAATCCCTTCTTCCATCTCAAAGATGAACTCCTCTAGTCCTCCAATCCTCCATCTTCTTGCTTCTATGCTGCGTGTGTGTTTGATTTGTGCTCTGCACCCCTGCGACTCTGCCTTGCTCTAGCTCTGCGGCTGCTGTTCTTGCCTCATGCTCTATGCTGCTGCTCTCTGCTTAGTACTTACGTACACCTATGTGGCTGTGCAAATGTTGACAAGCGGCCAACTGGCCATCAAAACAGGAATCTGTGCGCCAGTGCTTTACACTCTTGTTGCTTGCTTTATACTACATGCTACATGGTATATCAGTCCTGGAATATATAGGATGACTATATGGACAATTAGGACAGACTAGGACCGACTACTCAGGCTGGTCAACAACTAATCATGATTAGTCGTCTGGTCAGTCCCATGCCGACTAGGGTTGACTGCATGATTTGATAACATTGAAATGGTCTATGAAATGCATTGTTTCATTTTGCTATTTCATAGGCAGTACATGCAAGAGATAAGCTGTATTGGAAACAGTGTAGACACATTCCATGTCTTCATTAATCACTTGCCACATCATAATAAAAGCTGACATGACACTATTCAATGAGAATGAAACTCCCATTGAGAGTGGCCTTATGAATCCTCTTGCATTCTGTCAAAAATGTATGCACTAATATTTAATTATTCATGTTTAGCATAGCCCTTAGCTTTTACAGACTCAATCACATTAACATCAACTTAGTTTACTAGGATCATGTTTTCACAAAAAGTTGAATTGTTATTTACTACCAAACGTAAGTACAAACTGGCATTGTTTCCGTGCTGTCCTTAAAGTTAACTGTAATAACAATATGGGCTTATGATAATATGTATATCAATGTTCTCCGACGTGGTTATAAAATTTTAGTCTGCACACATTTAGAGCACTCTTGAACTTTTCTGTCCTGCAGGGAAAAAAACCTTATGAATTTCATCGTTTGCCTTAAAATTTACTGTTCCATGTTTTTTTGTATAGCTCTTGGTCTTTGAGGACTTGGAAGTCCCTAGCCACAAGACAAAAAACATTGTGCAATACATTAGCCAGATGGATGATACAAAGAAGGTTCTGTTGGTGGATGGAGGCGACATTGATAAGAAGCTAAAGCTGGCTACTCAAAACCTTCACTATGTTAATGTACTTCCTTCCACTGTAAGTTCTGTGATTTCAGTACTTGAGGTTTGAATAATCAAACTAAGTGTTCTTTGCTTGGAATATCCTTTTCCTGGTTAAAAGACCATTCTGCTTTCATGAAACAGGGACAAAAAACATTGTGCAATACATTAGCCAGATGGATGATACAAAGAAGGTTCTGTTGGTGGATGGAGGCGACATTGATAAGAAGCTAAAGCTGGCTACTCAAAACCTTCACTATGTTAATGTACTTCCTTCCACTGTAAGTTCTGTGATTTCAGTACTTGAGGTTTGAATAATCAAACTAAGTGTTCTTTGCTTGGAATATCCTTTTCCTGGTTAAAAGACCATTCTGCTTTCATGAAACAGGGCCTGAATGTTTACAGTATCCTTCAGCATGACACCCTTGTAATGACTCGGGCCGCTATCAACAGAATCGTCGAGCGGATGCATACCCCCATCAACCGCTAGCAAGGAGGGTTCTGGGTCAGACCACTGTTTCTTACAATCAGCAACTGTGCTTTCGTCCCCTGTTGAAGCTCGAAGATTTCCAGTTATCTCGGTGCTAACTTGGAGAGGTGCAATATCAACTGTTTAGTTTCTGTCATACCGAAGCTACCGAGGTAGGAGGGAGTGTTGAGCTCTTCCGTGGCTTCTTGCGCGGACTATCACATGTTCGTTTGAGCTTTTTTTTTTCCCCTTATAAACCATACTTTTTTAGCCAACGAATAATATTTCTCTCTCACACCAAATCAGCTAACGGTATTTTTAGCCATGGCTTATCAGCCAAATAAGTCCAAGTGAACAGGGCGTATAATGTCCTAGTTTTCTAATTCAATAATAAGACACCTAGAGCGTGTTTGGTTTGGAGAACGAGTGGTGTCTGTTTTCTCCTCCTAAACTTTAGTTGCTGTCTTATCGGATGTTTGACACATGTATGGAGTATTAAATATAGACTAATTACGAAACTAAATGTACAGATTGAGACTGTTTTGCGAGACGAATTTTTTAAGCCTAATTAGTCTATGATTTGACAATGTGGTGCTACATTAAATATATGTTAATGACGGATTAATTAGGCTTAATAAATTCGTCTTACGGATTATTGATGGATTCTGTAATTTGTTTTTTATTAGGGCATGTTTGGTTTCCCTCGACTAAAATTTAGCTACTAAAACTAGTGCCTAAACTTTAGTCACCCTGTTTGGTTCTAGTGACTCAAAGTGATTAAAGGTCATTAAAATAGTTCAACAAAGACCAAACTACTCCTAACGAATGTTCAAATTAGGGTGGGGGACCAGCAATAATGAGGGACAACCTTTGTTCACTGGGCATTTTAGTCCACTTTTAGCTACTCAAGAGTGACTAAACTACTTTAGTCTCTTTTTAGTCAGTTTGTTTAGCATTTTAGTAGCTAAAGCGACTAAAACTTTAGTAGAGGATAATCAAACAGGTCCTTAGTATCCGAACACTCTATATGACACCTCCTAAACTTTAGTTTCTGGATCAAACACCTCTTAGTTCATCTACTTCTCTCTCGTTTGGTCTGTGGAATGGAATAGGTTGATGTATTATCTCTTTATTCTTCACGAGCGAATAATTAGTACTAGTATGAGGAATAGAGTTATTTAACTAAATTTGGCCCCGTTCGCTTGTCTTAAATTTGGCTTGTTCGGCTTATTTTTTCAGTGGGAACAGTGTTTTTCTCTCACAACAATTCAGCCGGAACAGTGTTTTTCAGCCAGTTTCAGCCAAAGTTTAGACCAGCGAATGGGGCCTTTGAGGAAGGAGCTCATGATGCTCACCTCATGGGATGGAGTGATTTCCAAACCAAATACCCTATTAGCTTGTGATTATCATTGTTTTCTGAACACACAAGATGCATGCAAAAATGAATTTGTTCTACTACATTCAAGGGCCTGTTTGTTTTTCATCTAGGCAAGCCTGACGCGAGCAGCATTCCCAGGCGTCCGGAATGTGATGCGAGCCTAGCTCGCGTGATGCCTGGGAGGTGCTCAAGCAAACAATCTCTCATTGCCTTTCTGTGCTTCTTAATTTGAGCCAATTTTCTAGTATATTATCCCAATAAAAATTGTTGCCCGGACAGCAGGTATTGAAAAGATGACCAGCAAGAGTAGCTGCAATGGCGCAAATAGGAGATTGCATACTTCGATCGTAACGCACTTAAGTCTCTTTAGGCTTGGTTTAGATACGTTCTTATTCATGTCAATCCATGTGTGTTAGAGTCACATATGGATTGAGGTGAATATGGCTGCATCCAAAAAGACCTTAGGTTTGTTTTAACTTTAACTCTATAATTAAAATTTTATATAGGCTGACAACACATGATCGATGTTAATAGACTCATTGCGAACATAGTCGTTGCGAAGGAAAAAAAAACATCGTATAATTGATAAACTTAATAAACAACCACATAGAGAATACTAACATGATAGCATGATTTGGAGTGCAATACTCACTCACAAAGTCACAAGCTAGTGGTGATTTATGATTAGCTAGTTCGTTATGCCATAAACCAAACAACCCCATACTAGTATGTGTTCATCATGATTTATGTCTTGGAACTCGCCATGCGACCTATGGCGTCGCCACACTTTGTGGCGCCAAAAATAGCCACCACACTTGTGGCATGGATTTGTACTAGAAAAATCTGTGGGTGCCACACCTGCATGCTCAACAAAACACCCTCTTTCTATTCATGGCGAGCTGCAAGTTAGGCGTGGCAACGTGCTGCAGGGAACAAAACACCCCCTAGTCATAAAGTTGCCTAATTTTCCAAGAGAGAGAATGGCAAAATGTTGAAGCCAATGCTGGTCCAAGTTCTATGGTAGCGTAGCTAGATGTTTGCCGAAATAAGCAACTCTTCCAGGCTTATGTGCTGTTTCGTCCTCGGTGAAGATTGTTACACTAACAAGAGCTTAATGCCATGTTCGCTTGGCTGATAAGCCATGGCTGAAAGTATTGTTAGCTGATTTGTTGTGAGAGAAAAATACTGTTCATTAGCTAAAAAATTACGGCTTATAAGCCAAACGAACAGGGCGTAACTTGATATGTTAAGTATAGATTGTCTGCTCTTCCCTAACAGATTGAGTTTTTTAGTTAATTAATCTATATATTGCTTAATGTACTATTAGAGCCAAATCTCTCGTGTGTAATTCCTAGTTAGCACAATTAAACCAAATAATTATTGTCCTATTTCACATATAAAGCCTAAAGAAGCTACCGCACTTTCCTGTCTTTCTCTATCGACCGTGCAAATTAATACTTCAAAGCAAAGTGGCTGAAGCATTAAGTTATTGGGTATATACCATATACATATATCTAGCCTTTGCAGTATTAGATGTGTGTGTTTTTCTTAATAGTTAAAATAGAATAAGATGATCCACCACCACTTCATCCCTTCTTGGCTTCATCCTTTATAAGCTATTAATTAGAATAAACATATTTAATAAAGTAATTTCACTAAATTTTATGGGATGAATTCATAATGTATCATATTGTCTAAGTTACTTAAATATAAAGGTAATAATACTTCCTTTGTTGGGTTGTTTGGCTACGAGGTGACACTTTGGCTAATAAAATCTTGAACATAAACATGCACTAGCATTATGTACTACTCCCTCCGTCCACAAATAAATCAGTTTCTAGAATCTGTGCAAGTCAAACTATTTTAAGTTTGACTAATTTATAGAAATGAGCAACAACAATCTATGACATAAAATAAGCACATTATGAAAATATATTCTATGATATATCTAGTTATACTAATTTGGTGTCATAAATCTTGACTTTTTTCTAGGAATTCTGTCAAAGTTTAATTAGTTTGACCGAAGATAACTCTAGAAATCTATTTATTCAGTAACAGATTGGGTATAAAAAGGCTACTCTTGACGTGTCTCACATCCGTGTAGTATCCACAAATTCAATTCCAAAATATAGCTACTTTATTCTAAGCCAAACTAATTAGATTTGACAAAATTGATAAAAAAAATGTCAATATCTAGGATACCAAATTAGTATCATTAGATCACTTATAAAAAATCAATAAATTTTCACAATATTCTATTTGGTGCCATGGAAATTAATTATTTTTTTCAGTGCACTTGCTCAAAGTTAAAATATCTGTGAACGTGGTCAGTGGTCTATGATGAATTGAGCAGAGTTGTTCGGAGACAATCCACCTGCTCTATCATGGTCAGCTTTGAAGGCGTCGTCGATTGTTTTCCACACGAGGCTAAAACAGTGTTTGCATGCGTCGGCTTGCAGCAGATTCCGACGGGTCTTTTTCATGAAATCGATACCTCGTCATCAATAAAAGCAGTCTACAAATCGTCGGTGCACAACTGACTTTATTATCGAGATGTGCATTTTTTTTTGTTATTTTTCTTCTACATACAGATCAAAAGATGCAACGTCGACATATAATAAAACAGTATGGCTACTGGCTAGCGTCTGAACATCCGGACGTGACAGACGTCCATGTCCGGACGTCGAAGCTTGCTCCTCATTTCACACGCGCACGTGGGAACCCACGCCCCTCCGTGCTCCTGTTTGGATGCCCGTGCCCCCTCCACTTCCCACACCCGCGCCACCATCCCCTCGACTGCGTTGTCCCGGGAGGCCGGGCGCCGGTGCTGTTGCTAACCATGACAGGGCCGCGACGCTGGTCAGGGAGTTCGTGGACAAAGCGAAGGTGGTGTCTAGCCACCGGCACTATTGTAACATGTGCAACACTAGATCTACTTTCGAAATATTTAAATGAAACATTTACAACATACGTCTCAAGACAGATAAAACATGCGTGTAGCCTATTGCAAAATGTGCAACCAACAAGATATGCTTTTGAAACATCCATATCAAACATTTACAACATACGTCTGAAAACAGATGAAAAACTTCGTGTGTAGCCCATTGCAATATGTGCAACACGAAGATCTACTTAAACATCCATATGAAACATTTGCAAACATACGACTGAAAAATCTGAAACACTTGAAACATAGGCTTGCAACATGAGTATTTTGTCATTGCAACATATGCAACATCCAAGATCTACTTTTGCAACACCTAGATGAAAAACACTTGAAACAAAAGTTTGAAACGCATGAAACACAACATTCGTCCGCGCGGCCCCTACCTGGTGGGGGACTGCGGTAGCCAACAAGCTCGGGTTGGGGGACGTCGAGAACAACATGCCAGCATACACCTCCGCTGCAGGAACTTCCCTTCCTGTCGTGGTGTCTTCGGCTGGCCGCAGGAGATGATGTCCCGACCGGTGACGACCTCCTATTGGTGGCGCCAGGTTCGTCATGCCCGGGTGACACCAAGGCCGCGACGGGCGAGGTGGAGTGGGGCACGGTAGGGGATAGGGCACGGGTACAGCCAGCGATGGGAGGTGGTGTAGTGGACGGAAGCGCACGGTGCGGTGAGGGACATGTCACGGTGGGGAAGGGCGTGCGCGGGGTGGAGTGGAGCAGGCAGATGTGAGTTTGAAGAAAGAAGCAGAGCAGGATTTCAAGCGTCGAACACTCAGGCTAGAGCATCATCGATAATAAAAAAATGCTGAACCCTAAAAGGTCCTCAAGATGCCGATATTAGTGCATCCGAATAAACTTTATGCATGCCTCTTTTATCATAAAATTTACAAAATAAACCAAAAAATCAAACTCCAGTAGACTTTCTAAATAATTCATTATCTTTTTTTGCTTTCCAAAACCACCATTCTCTCTCTCCACTAATAGAGAGGCTACATCTCTCTAAATTCAATATATACGAGTTCTGTTATGATTTTTTCACATAAGGGAAATTTATGATAAACCATTGTTCAATAGAATATGGTAGTTTTATCATGATTTTTTTTCACACAAGCAAAATTATGGTAAACCATTTTAATATAGAGAACAAAACTATATTAATGAATCAAATATGTGATCGTTGGGTTTGACTTGAAGGAAAATTTGAGAGGAATCAGTTGGAATGCTAAAATAAATCAACATATTAATAATGATTTACACATTATAACATCACCTCCAACAGTCAGAAAGAATGTTGACTCACTACTGCCTTATTTAGAAAAGGATCGACTCCACTCAGAAGGCTCGAGCCCTGTCATGTTGCTGTGAGGAGCATGCATTACGCCGACCATGTGAGATCATATCAACAGTATCAGAGCAGGCAACGACATCCAATGTTTTGCCTTAGCTCTGATGCAGCAGCTCAGGTCTGGCCCTGGCTATTTATTATGATCTCGCAAAGCACCAGGTCCCTTGTAAGCCCTAAACTCATCCTAATCATGACGTGTCTTTAAGAACTGCAGCCATCTTCATCCTCCATGTCTGTAGGGTATAGTGTGTCGAAAACCACCAGTGTAAAGAGATTTGTTATTTCTGCATGTGTACCATTAGACAGGTTATGGTAATTGATCATCCCGTCACGTTTTGGTTCATAGCCACGCTCCTTTTTGCCATATTGAACACTCTCGATAAATTTGAGAACCTTCAGGTAGGCTTGTAGTGGTATAAACACCTACAAAAGGATAAAACTGATTATTTAACAGGAAATAAACACAACAGCTAGTAGCATAAACCAGCACCAGCCAGTTGCGGCAACACTAACAGCGCTTTATTCTTTTTTCTACCTTAGAATAAACAAGCATTAGCAGAATGGAAGCCAAAACTCATTTCTCATTTTTATTGTTGTCCTCGATCTACAGGAGAGGCGTGCATCATTATATTTATATATTAAGAAGAAAAAGAGTCCAAGATGACCCATATTAATCCACACACAAACCCATATGCCCATCATGGTGATTCTTATTCCATGAGGACTCGCCAGAATCTCATGTTTGCTATTTTCAACAATGTGAACTAAATTGATCTCTCCCACTCCCGACTTATAAGTACCAGCATCAGGACACTAGCTACTTCACTACAGCGCTTAATTCTTTGCTTACCTTACTGATAAAATGAAAGCCAAAAGCATTATCATAATTATCAATGCTATTTTCAAGAATGTGAACTAGTTTGGTATCTGACCCATTCTCATGACTTTACCAGGATCAGGACAGTTAACAGCACCAATAATACTAAAACTTAATTCTACTTGCTTACCTTAGAATAAAATAATACTAACAGAATAAATTAATTTCAGCAATGTGAATTACTTTCAGGTACCTTTCTCACAGGATATAGAGGTCAGATTGCACACACTAAACATTGGAGAAAATATCGAACCTAAAAATACAGGAGATAAGTTGGTAGTGCTTACAAGATCTGACGATGGTGCTTGAGGGATTTTCGCCATAGCATTTGCGACATGATACTCATCAGTCATTTCAGTTAATGCCCGCTTCATCAATGCAGCGAAGCTTTGTACTTCACCTGCCAAATGCTTATCTGTCCAGACTTTGGGTTCTAAGAGCTCTGGAAATCCAGTATCATGTTGCCGGTTGATTGATTTTCCGATATCCACTGCCAAAGACATATCACCTCCCAGGTAGAAGGCTAGTGCAAAAGTAGCCACTACCAAAGGATCACATGGTTTGCGTGCCAATGATTCATGAAAGGCTAAAAGGCTTATCCTGTAACAGTAACAAGCAAGTTGAATATGTTGGGGAATAACATAACTACCTCAATTACTTCATTTTCAATAATGTAGAAGAGTCCACATCAGCTAGAAATAGAACAACGTAAAAATTTCCTTGTCTGCCACTAACAGGTTGGATAATTCAACTCACCATAGACTATTATGACATGGCCTATTAGGTGCAAGAAAATTATCCAGCTTAGAAAATAAGACCTGCACAAAGAGAATAAGAGATCGAATGAAACATAGTTAACTTAATGGGAAAACCTACCAACTAAATAAACAAAATTAATCAGCAACAAAAGCTCCATTAAAAAACAATGCACAGAAACAAAACACAGGAAATGCAATTGTAGACTGTTGCTCTAGCCATATCAGACACAAAGAACATCTCGCCCTGAAACCATCAAAACTTGCAACAAGAAAGTCCGAATATTCATTCAAATTTAAATGACACTGATTGCAAATTTCGATTAGTTATAATTCTAGGAGCTAAGAGACTGATGAACATTAAAAATGATAATATATCACAGATTCATAGTGAACATGACAAAATGTTCTGCTCTGGAAAGCAGGGCAGAGAACAAAAGGAGAATAAACTTAAATTTCTATTTCATCTTTACAGCATGTCAATTGAAGATTTTAAGTTCCTTTCAATCTACATAACAGCAGTAAACTGTACCAAAATAAAACTTACAAGTAGCATATTAGTTCCTTTATCCTTCCTCTTAAAACGAGTCGAAGAGAAATATGCTGCCTGTACAGTCCGATCAAATCATTTAGTCAGCACAATAACAAAAACTCTACAAATACTTGATTTTCAAGATAGGTTTGTTTTCCTGTCCATGAGTTTACCTGAAAGGGCAACAAATGTTCAAGGAGGCCAAACCTCCACAGCAACCTTAAAGAAGCTTCAGCTGAACCATAAGCAAGCATATAGTTCATCTCCATGAGTATCCTTCCCTGTAAAATTTCATGAAAATAAAATAAATCAAAGAGGCAAACATATAAGCTACTTCATTGTGGTTCTTTAGAGAAGCCAAAATCATTGATATAACGAAACCACATTATCCATGTCAGAATCAGACCTTGTCAAGTCTTGCCACTGAGTAAGCAAGCGTTCTCACATAATAAGCTGTTTCTTTGGGGAAGCTAAACCCTAAACGAGCTGCAATTCTGATTGCACGTAGAATACGGGCTGTTAATTACATGATTGCATTAATGACAATGATCACACACAAAAAGTAGAACTATAATAAAAGAAATGGTTGAACTTTGGATACTGACCACAGTCCTCCTGGAACGAAGTGCCAGCAGGAATTACAGTCCGAACCTGTTAAACAGAGAAAACTGCAAAATGAGCGCACAAAAAGATTGTCGAACAGGGCAACTATGAAACAAATAAGTAACACAGACCTTAGCTTTCTTAATATCTTCAATGCCTCCCAAGTAATCATAGATCTTTTCTGAATATGGGTTGAACATTAACCTGCATATTTCCAAGAAAAAAATAGCACAACCTGCAATATGGTATGCTTCACATTTGATGAAAGTACAGAAGTACTAACCCATTAATTGTGAAGTCCCTCCCTTGGCAGTTCTTCCAGCGAACAAAATCATTCTTGCTACAATTTTGGCTCTTTGAATTGTAAATCTGGCTACCACTTGACCCCCTTGCGCTAGTATAAAAACTTGACACCTGCAAATAAGGACTTCAGATATATCTTGCTAGTTGCCCACTCCAGTGCAAAAGGAAAATTTGATTCAACAAATGCCAACAATGAAGTGTGCAGTGTAGCAAGATGTAGCTGACGACTATAGGTCTGTGTTGTGCAGAGGGTGCTAAAATTTACAATCAGTAAAACTTGCACGAACCTCAATGATGGAATTGTTCTCATGTACATGGCATATGGGGAAACGCCTTCCTACTATAACAGCTGATCCTGAGAAAGTGTCTTTCACCTGCAGAGTTTAAAATAATAACAATAATTTTAATTGGCACAAACACATTGTATAAGCAATATCTTCTCTGGCATCTCAACTAAAAATTCTGAACATGGAAACTTCACAAACAGAATGAATCAATCACCATCTGCGCTGAACTACGCAAAAGGTATTTCTTTTACCCAACATATCGACACGGTAACAAACAAAGAAGCATTGCACAAGTAGGGAAAATTTAAACAAGCATACACACTTGATAACTTTATTTGGCACTGGTAGATATGCCATATACTGATAGTAATGTCTCTTCTACATAGGGCCATATCAAACATATGTTTTACAAGACTAAAATCAATTATGTCAGTCTGTGGACTCCCAAAATACCATCACATAGATGCTAGAGAATGCAAAATTGATGGTTCACCAATATCTCACACCTATGTAAGGTATTCAGGATTGTTTGATATGAATTATTGTCACCGCAAAAAAAAAGGACCATAAGAATATACTGAAATCTATAAAGAATAAAAGTGTAAGTGTAAGTAAACCAAGATCATTGTTTCCAAGCAAGACATCCTCACATCTAGATGTTGCAAAGGTAACAACTAGACAAGTGGAATTTGGACTGCCAGAGGGCAGCTTGGCCACAGCTGCTTGATTGCATTATATAGGAATAGCAAACTTGGGATACAAGAAGTTCTCAACTACTACAACATATTCTACTGCATAAAGTAGATGCTAGCTTGGATGCTAAGGCACCTGAAAACTGCTAGACAGTGAATAGTAACTAGCCTAGACAGTGAATGGTAAATAGCTAAGTAGATAACTAGATACATTGGGGTAAGCACTAGGCTAAACCCTCATTTCTCCCCCTTAGCCTTGTGCTCAGCTTTGGAGGTGATCTGCTTCAGGCCAATCCTCTCCCACATCTCCTCAAACTTGGCCTTGCCCAGAGACAGTGAGAATGTCTGCAAGCTGATCAGTAGTTGGGATGTGTTTGGCCTTGATGCTTCCATCTTCCAGACAGCTGCGGATGAAGTGGTACTTAATCCTAATGTGCTTGCTCCTCTCATGGAAGACTGGATTCTTGGCCAGAGCGAGGGCTGACTTGCTGTCCACCTTTAGCTCCACCACCTCAACATGTCTGCCGAGGAGCTCTGCTAGCAGCCTTGAGAGCCACAGAACCTGGGTTGCAGCAGTAGAGGTGGCAATGTACTCGGCTTCACAGCTGGATAATGCCACCACCTTCTGCTTGATAGATTGCCAGCTGACCAAGCAATTGCCGAGGAAGAACAGCGTTCCGCTCGTGCTCTTGCTTGTGTCGATGTCGCCGGCGAGGTTGCTGTCGCAGTAGCCGACGAAGTGTGCGGTGCCGGGCGCCTTGGTGAAGTGCAGACCGAAGTCGAGCGTACCAGCGACATAGCGAAGGATGCGCTTGACAGCTTGCTGATGCTCCACCGTAGGCCGCTCCATGAACCGGCTGACGAATCCGACGGCGAACGCCAGATCGGGGTGAGTGTGCACCAGGTAGCGCAGACTGCCGATGAGGCGCCGGTAGTGCGTGGGGTCGACCTCCTCCGCCGTCTTGTGTCTGCTAAGCCTCAGCCGCTCCTCCATTGGAGTATGGGCAGGGTTGCAGTCAGCCATCCCGCCGAGCTCCAGGATTCGCTTGGCGTAGTGCGTCTGGCGGAGGGTGATGCTGCTGGCGTCTTGGCGCACCTCGACGCCAAGGTAGAAGCTGAGGAGGCCGAGGTCACTCGTGTCGAAGATCTTCTTCATTTGTGCCTTGAACGCCTCCACTTCACGTTCCTCCGCGCCGGTGATGATGAGGTCGTCGACGTAGACGCCGACGAGCAGGAAAGAGCGCCCGCTGCCCCACCGGTACATCGCCGCCTCGTGAGCGCTTTGCTGGAAGCCCATGTCCTTGAGCGTGGCATCCAGCTTAGCGTTCCAGGCGCGCGGTGCCTGCCGCAGGCCGTAGAGAGCCTTGCGGAGGCGGTAGACCTTTCCTTCTTCTCCGGCGACGGCGAAGCACAGCGGCTGCTGCACGTACAGCTCTTCCTTGAGGTCGCCATTGAGGAAAGCGGACTTCACATCCATGTGGTGGACGCGCCAGCCTTCTTGAGCCGCTAGCGCGAGGACTCTGACGGATTCCATGCGCGCCACGGGAGTGAACGCGTCGTCGTAGTCGATCCCCTCTTGCTGCACGAACCCGCACGCCACCAGTCTGGCCTTGTGCTTGATCACCGCGCCCAGCTCGTCCTTCTTGAGCTTGAACACCCATTTCAGGGTGATGGGGCGATGGCCGGTGGGCAGCGGCACCAGCTCCCAGGTGCAGTTCTGCTCCACGGCCTTGATCTCCTGCTCCATTGCTGCCCGCCATGCTGGATCGTCCTTGGCCTCGGCAAAGTTGGCGGGCTCGCCGGCGCGCGTCAGGTGCAGCTCGGCGAAGAGACGTTGAGGCGGCAGAGGTGGAGGATGGTCGCCGATGATGTTAGTCATCATGCGGTACCGCAGCGGCTCGTCGTCGTAGTAGGCGTCGAGTCTGTCTTCATCATCCTCCAGGGGAGTGGCGAACTCCACTTGATCACCGGCCACAGCTGCCGCCGCCGGTGAAGACGGTGAAGTGGTAGGGGCAGCAGGGGACGCCGGTGGTGGCGTTGGCGAGGCCGGCTGGGGCGCTGGAGGAGCGACTGCTGCCGCCGATGTCCCTCCGGGCTCCCCCAGACTTGGTGACGGCGAGCGCTGTGCAGAGAGTGATGGCGCCGGTGATGTAGCTCCGGCCGCCACTGGAGAAGCACCTTGTGCTCCCCCGGCTCCTCCAGGCATCCAGTACTCGACGGTGAAGTCGCTCGCCGCCGAGGCGAGCTGCCGGTGTCCGGAGTGGACCAGTCCCGGCAGTGCCCCTCGTCGAAGATGACATCGCGGCTGATCTTCACGCGCTATGTCACCGGATCCAGGATGCGGTACACCTTGGCTCCCTTCGCGTACCCGATGAAGACACCGGGCTTGCTGCGGTCATCAACCTTGCAGAGCTGACCCAAGTCCTTGGTGTAGGCGACGCAGCCGAACGTCTTCAGATGGCTCACCGCCGGCGTCCGCCCGTGCCAAGCCTCGTAGGGGGTCTTGCCCTGCAAGCTCCGCGTCGGCGAGCGATTGAGAAGATGGACTGCCGTCATCACCGCCTCCCCCCAATACTTGGCCGGCATCCTCTGCTTCAGCAGCGACCGGGCCATGGCGACCACGGTCTGATTCCGATGTTCCACCACGCCGTTCTGCTGTGGCGAGTGAGGCGCCGAAAAGTGGCGTTGGATGCCCTCTCCTGCGCAGTAGTTGGCGAACTCCGCGACGGTGAACTCGCCGCCGTTGTCGGTGCGTAGCACACGGAGCTTGCAGCCGCTCTCCTTCTCCGCCACGGCCTGAACATGCTTGATGGCGTCCGCGGTAGCATCCTTGGACGGCAGCAGGACGGCCCACATGAAACAAGACGCGTCGTCCACCAGCAAGAGGAAGTAGCGCCGCCCTCCTGGAGTCGCCGGCGTCACAGGCCCGCAAAGGTCGCCATGGACGAGCTCCAACTGCTACTGCGCGTGGTACTTGGCTTGCTGAGGAAAGGGGCACCGACGCTGCTTCGTCGTGACGCAGGTGTCGCAAACTTGCTCGGCGTGCTTGATCACCGGCATGCCGCGCACCATGGCCTGCTTGCCGAGCTGGTGCAGCGCCTCGAAGTGGAGGTGGCCGAACCATTCGTGCCAGCGCCAGGCGTCGTCGTCCTTCCTTGCGGCGAGGCAGAGTGGCTGCGCGACCTCGAGATGGAGGACGTAGAGGCGTCGAGGAGGCGCCCACGACGATCCAAGATGCAAAGCACGCCCTTGTCGATTTCCACCTTGGACCCGCCTTCATCGAGCTGGCCGAGGCTCATGATGGAGTTGCGCAGCGCCGGGATGAAGTAGAAGCCGTGGAGAACTCGGTGCTCGCCGGTCTTGGCTTAGTACACGATCGAGCCGACGCCTTGGATCTCCACCCTTGACGTGTCGCCGAACCGCACCGAGCCACGGACAAAAGTGTCGAGGTCGGAGAAGAGCTCGCGACGGCCGGTCATGTGGTGGGTGGCGTCGTTGTCGAGGTACCAGCCATCTAGCTTGTCCTAGCCGGAGCCGGTGTTGAGGAACGCACGGGCTCTGGGCTCGTCGATGTCGAGGGTGGTGTCGGCCTTGTAGCAGAAGATGTCCTCCTCTGTTTCCAGCTCCAGGGAACCGTGGGCGAGGAACATAGCCGCCTCGTCGTCATCCGCCTCCGCGAGATGCGCTGCGCCACCACGCTTGCGTCGAGGCTGAGGGCAATCCTTCGCCTAGTGGCCAGCACGGTGACAGTTGAGGCAGGTGTCGTCGCGGTTCGCCTAGCGTTCGCTGCCAGCGCTACCAACCTTCTCTCCTTGTCCGTCATCGCCACGGTCGCCGCACTCACCCTTGGGCTTCTGCTTCCTCCCGCCGCGGGGACGTCGGCAGGGTTCCTTGGACGAGCTGGACAAGCCGGAGCTGTCTCCTCCCTTCTTCTTCTCCTTCTGCCAAGCGATCTCCTCGACCTGCTCACCGGGACGGAAGGCGAGGTTCTCCCACTCCTTGCACAATCGCTGCAGCGTGGCGCGGAGAACGCGGTCAACGCCGATGCGCGCTGCGGCGATGGAGTCCCACGCCTCCTTGGCCGACTCCTTGTCCGTGAGCGGTCCGCCCATCTCCGGCGGTACTCCGGCGATGATGGCCTGGTGCGCGCCGATCGTCGTGGTACGGGAGGTCGCCGTACTCGATGGAGTCCAAGAGCTGGCGCGCCTGCATCTTCACCTTCATGAGCAGGCTCCACTCGTGGTAGTTGGTCTTGGTCAGCATCGGCCATGGCGTGCCCGAGCCGGAGTCCTTGTACATCGTCTGAACGGCCGCAGGTGACCCGCGACGGCCTCCGCGTCCGCGACGGCGCTCCGGCGACGGCGAAGAGATCTGGCGCCGCACCGGGCTCCTCGATGGCTCTCTGGGCTGCCGCTCCAACTCCGCGCGCAGCGCTGCGGCTCTATTTGCCGCTGCCTGCCTGGCCGCCTTGATCGCCTGCGCGGCTGTGGCCTCTGTCGCAGCCAGACGCTGAGCGTGATCGGCGCCAGGACTGACCACCATCCCTCCGCCGGCGTTGGCGGCTGCGGCGGCTGCACGCAGAGCGCGCTCGCTGGAGGTGGACATGGCCTCTGCTCTCACCTAAACCTGGCTCTAGATACCAATTGTTGCAAAGGTAACAACTAGACAAGTGGAATTTGGACTGCCAGAGGGCAGCTTGGCCACCGCCGCTTGATTGCATTATATAGGAATAGCAAACTTGGGATACAAGAAGTTCTCAACTACTACAGCATATTCTACTGCATAAAGTAGATGCTAGCTTGTTGGATGCTAAGGCACCTTAAAACTGCTAGACAGTGAATAGTAACTAGCCTAGACAGTGAATGGTGAATAGCTAAGTAGGTAACTAGATACATTGGGGTAAGCACTAGGCTAAACCCTCACTAGACACCATCACTTTGACATTGAAATGACTAGGTACTGTTCAGTATGTACCATTTAAAAAACTTAAATATAAAGCTATCAAGTAGTTTCACTGTGTTTGGGATAAACAGGCTTTAGGTTATTATTACCAGCACATCAACAGTGAAGTTCAGAGCAACACCGTAACCAAACTTTAATGTACAGTTTCAATAACATGTACATACAATATACATAATCAAAGTTTATCTTCATTTAAAAAGTGAAACTTTGCACTCAATACACTGTCTGTCGGTTATAAGCAGCAAATCAATCACAAATCTGCATCATATATGCCATATTTCTTTTGCAATAAAGTAGTACCTGCTATCTGCAAAATTATGACACCAAACTTAAAATATCTACGCATTTCAGTGAAACAATAGCTCCAACACATGATGCCTCAAAACATGAGTAGACTTTCATTCCAGTAATACCACTACATCATGATAACATCCTTGTTCATTTGAGTTATAACCTGCCTAAGATCAGCTGTTGTTATTATGTCGAAATCTTTTGGCGTCTTCTTCATTATGAGATCTCGAACACAACCACCAACAAGGTACACATCATATCCTGCACAAAAAGGTGAAACATATCAAAACCAGTAATGCAATGAACCAGCAACAACAAAGGATACTCAAGCACCTAATTAAAAGATGAGAGAGGAAAATACAATGGAATTGAAATATCATACATATTTGATTAGCTGTATTAATCGACTACTAGCACCCAATAGGATACAAATATGGTTTTGCCTTTCTATCCAATTAGCCATTTCTCCTGTAATCACATTTATATCTTTCACAAAATAAAGTATGCCATACATGTTTCACTCTGAAATGTGATTTTATCCAAACTACTACAATTTGCTTGCAGAAGCAATAGATACATATGTTGCAGTATAGATAATAGATTGTTTCTATTCTAGTTAAGTAAAATGCAACTATTATCTGTTGCCATACTAAGACCTTTTCTCCATCCCTGATATCGTTCATGGGCACAGTCCTATCCCTTGTAGCAAAGGCGGAAGATGTGCATCAAATCAAAGAATCAGGAACAACTCTATATGTTGCTCGTGAGCCACCAAGTACCAGTCTCGCAACAGTACTGGTGTTAAAGGATCAGTCCTGCACGTGTGGATCATTCGCAAGTTGAACTCGCTCTCTTGCCATGCCTTTGACTCACGAACTCAGGTCCAAAGCAAATTGTTTGTCTTGCATTGCAGCAATCAAACCAAAATCAAGTATTAAAGTTGAAATACTTCTTTTCTTGGTAGCCTAGCTCCCAAAGCTGTTTCAGTCCCTGCTCATCCCTTTGTGACAGAGCGAGCGCCTTGACTAAGATAGATTGACTCTTTCATTCTTGCAGCCTATTCTGGTTCCAATCACGTTTGAGGAAAACTCCCTTTGGCATCAATGGAACTCTGTGATATAGGAGTTCAAAAACCTCATTTTGTCTGAGAGATAGTGGAATTTCTTCTTTCAATTGGAATTGAAATATCATACATATCTTATTAGCTGTATTGATCGACTACTAAAACCCAACAGGGTACAAATATGGTTTTGCATTTCCCTATCCGATTAGCCATTTCTCCTGTAATCACATTTATATCTTTCACAAAATAATATGCCATACATGTTTCACGAAATGTGATTTTATCCAAACTACTCAAATTTGCTTGCAGAAGCAATAGATATATTCTGTTGCAGTATAGTCTATAGATAATAGATTGTTTGTATTCTAGTCTAGTTAAGTAAAATGCAACTGGTATCTTTGATTCTATATATATGGGGCTATGAGTTGAGTGTTCAATCCAGTCTGCATTTGTTCCAACATTTGACTCATAACAAGTATAATTGAGTTTACTTAAATGGATGTGCCCTCACCCGAGGGCTGAACCCACTAGTTCAATCGCAGGATCTCGGAAATCCAACTCCAACAGTGACGTTTCAGGATCGGGCACGAAAACAAACCAAACACTAGCATGGCCATCGAGGTGGGGGACGCACCTCTGCTGCGGAGGCGGTGTAGTACGTTCCAGGCCTCTGCGGGGATCATGGACTCCTTGATCCCAAACCGCTTGGCACTGACCTTCTTCCACTCCGGCCCGTCGAACCCCTCCGCTCCCGGCGCACCTGCAGAGAATGCCCAGCGCCCACCAGGTAAGAAGAGCAAACCCTTGGGGGTAGCATTTCGCCGTCACCACTGGACCAACAACGAGAGCGGCGGAGGGGAGACTTACCGGCGGATGCGGGGGCGGTAGATGGGGTGGACGAGTCGGAGGGCGAGGGCGAAGAAGGGGACTGCGACGGGGACGGTGCGCGGCGGCGGCGCCGTGGGGAGGCGAGCGCCGCGAGTGGGGATGGAGCGAGGCGGCCGGGCCGCGTGAGCGAGCCGAGCCACCTCAGCTCCGGGGAGCGCAGGGCCATCGCGACTGGGACAGCGCGGCGGCGGCGGCCGTAGCGGGGTGGAGGCACGCAGCGCGCACGCGAGCGGCGAAGGAGGGTGGATAGGCAGAGCTGGCTGCTGACGGCGGCGAATATGCCAAATCCTCGAGGCATTTACCTGTACCGTCATAAAAGTTCGCAAGTCATTAGAAAGTCGAAGAGCTCGTAAGTGTCACTTGTCCGAACTTTTTTAGCCTCGATATCATTTCCGTCATATTATCTTAATTTTTAAGGGTTTGACTATTCTGATAGTTAAAATGTCCAGAATGCCCACATCTTGTTTCTAGCCGGCAACCCTATCCTCTGCAGGCCCTCATCGGGAGCGGCAGTTGCAGAGCCCGGCGGTTCCTCTGCAGCGGCGGCGGGCAGCCGAGTCGCGCAGGGCGGTAGGTCCAAATATATCTTAACTCACTCCTTTTGCTGACGTGGCATGTGGGGCCCACTTGTCAAGCCCCGTTGTCGGTGTTAGACCCCGTTGTCGGTGGTTGTCGTCGTCGCTCTGTATGTTGGCGATGAGCTTGGCCAGGAGGCTCTTGATCTCCTTGTCGAGCTGCCACACACACCTGTTCCTCCTGGTGGGTAGGAACCTATAAACTGTAGCCACTACCGGAATCAGTAGGTTTGCCATGTGTCCAGGGCACACGGCGAAGCCCAAAAAACACTCGGCAAACAAAGACTCGGTAGAGCTGTCTTTGCCGAGTCTTTTTTGTTGAGCACTTGGCGAACACTTTGCCGAGTGCTAAACCGACCCTCGGCAAATATTTTTTGAAAAAAAAATTAAAAAAAACAAGCACCACCTGCCGCCACCACCAGCCGTCGCCCACCTCCGAGCTACCTCCCTCCGCCACCACTGAGCTGCCTTCCGTCGCCACGCCACCACTGAGCTGCCTCCCGCCGCCACCACGCCCGAACTGCCTCCCGCCACCACCAAGCCCGCCACGCCACCACGCCCGAGTTGCCGGTGCCGAAGCTAGGGCCCGCCTCGACCACGACCACCTCGTGGCCGGCCATCGCGCCCACCACCACGAAGCCCGAGACCACCACCATGGAGTATGCCGCCTCTCGTGGGCCCCCCGACGCGAGGCCTCGCCCCGCGAGTCCCCGCCGTATCCGGGGAGGCGGGGCGGTGCGATGGCCGGATCCGGGGAAGAGGGGCGAGGCGGCAGCCAGAGAAAGGGAGAGGAGGGGCGGGGCGACGACCGGAGAGAGGGAGAGGAGGGGCAGGGTCCCCGCCAGATCCGAGGAGGAGGGGCGGTGTGGCGGTCGGATCCGGCCGGATCCGGGGAAGAGGGGTGGGGCGGCGATCGGAGAAAGGGAGAGGAGGGGCGGGGCGGCGGCCGGAGAGAGGGAGACAGAGGCGGGGCGGTGCGGGAATGGAGGAGGGGCCAGGCGCGCGGAGGGGCCGAGCGCACGAATTTGGAGAGGGAGGCGGGGCGGTGCCGGAAAGAAGGAGGGAGGCGGGGTGGTGCGGGAAAGGAGGACAGCCAGGGAGTTATAGCAAAATTTCTTTGCCGAGTGTTCTAGATCTGAGCACTTGGCAAAGTTTTTGTTTTTATTTTTTTCTTCTCCTTCTTTTCCAGAAAAAAGATTTTATTTCTTTGCCGAGTGTTCTAGATCTAAGCACTCGGCAAAGTTTTTTTTCTATTTTTTTGTTCTCCTTCTTTTCTAGAAAAAAGATTTTATTTCTTTGCCGAGTGTTTTTTTTTGACACTCGGCAAAACTGGCAAACTCCCTCTTTGCCGAGTGGTTTTAACGTAGCACTCGGCAAAGAACTTGTTCGCCAAGTGCCCGAGGGAATACACTCGGCAAATATAAAAACACTCGACAAATTTAAGGATTCCGGTAGTGAGCCTGGGATGAAGACCTTGCTGTGCGCCTCGGTGGCGTAGTTGGCTTGCTCGGCCTGCAGCTTGAACACGGCGCTACCCTCATCGTAGTTGCGGCCGAACGTGGACACGACGATGGCCTACTGCGGCAGCCACTGGTACCACTCCACAACATCCACCACCTCCACCTCACCCAACAACGACGACGAGCGCGTTTGACACCTGTGGCCCCGTCGCATGCGCCGCGGCCGGCAGCCCGTCGAGGGCAACGGAGAAGCAGAGCTCGAGGGTGCCGCACTGCAGCAGGTGCGCACCGTCGGTGACACCAGCGGCGTCAAGTCTGGTACCAGCTGCGGCCGTGCGAGCGCACGCCTGGCGCAGCAGCCCGGCCGGTCATGGACGACAGGGCTACCGCGGTGGTTGGGTCATGCGCAGGATAAGAGACAGACATGGCCAAGGCTGACAAGTGAGCTCCACATGCCATGTCAGCATGATGAAATAGTTAAGATTAACCAAAACCAAGTTTAGGGACATAGAAATAACATTTTGAAAGTATGTGGACCTAGATGACACCCTATGCCAACTTCAAGGACAGGGTGTGAATTTTCCTCTTAGGTAAACAATATGGTCAAAGGGAGCCTGCACTTGCCTTTTTCCGAGAGTTTAGCTACTCAGAAATCTTCAATCTTCAGCTTCTGATCTTTAGCTTCTGCTCCACTTCTCGGTCCTCAGCTTCTGGTCTTCAGCGCTAACAAACCGCTCTTCTACTCGCGGGAACCAAGCAAAATAGACAACACAAACAAACACAACTAAGAACAACATATCACTCACACAAAATGCTTGAAGAGAGCGCACTAAACGACATAGCTTGCTGAAACTATTTTCATATTTTAAATAAATCAAATTGAATTTTTAAAAGGATTTGTACTGCAGGTATAAAAACCAAAGAACTCAGGGTTTAAACTGTTAAAAACGCGGGCCGATTTGAATTGCTACGGAGCGCGGGTTGATTTCCAAAAACTACAGGGGATAAACTTCAAAAGCGCTAGGGCTGACCATGTTTGACTGCGTTAACACGGTCATCGCTTGTGTGGCGCTGACGTGGTGCCTACTTGGTGCTGACAGGGTAGCCACGTCAGCCATGCTGACTGGACCGGTTGACCTAGGGTTGACTGGTCATAGGTGCGATCTAGGCCGTTCGTTACAGATCGGACGACGAGGGGCTTGGCTCGGCTGTGTTGACCAGTGGCGGCGACGTTCAGCGCGGTGGCTCGCGGCGGCGGCGCCATGGACGGCAGCCAAAGGTCACCGGAGTTCAGCTACACGGCGGCTATGGGCACTGCGGGTGAAGGTGAAGAGACGGGGAGGTAGCGGGCGGCCTCGCAAACTCGATAGGCGGGTTTGGCTGGGCGAACGTGGGGTTGGCGCGGCGGGCGGTGCGCCATTGGCGGCCGCGGGAGCTCGCCGACGTGCGGCCGCGGGAGCTCGCCGGCGTGCGGCGGCGATGCGTCTACGGCACGAGTGGCAGCGGCGTGGCTTAGCTAGGGTTCAAAGGGGCGTGGGTGCACAGGGGCTCCGCCATTTATAGGCCGGCGAACCTCGGACTGTGTGCGGGCCTCGGGAGACGAACGACAGCTATGGTGGCCTCGCGATGCGGAGTGGCGGGGAAGACGGGCCTCTCCCGCTGATGTGTGGGGCCGGGCTAGTAGTGGCACAGCGTGGGCTGGTAGTAGAGGCCCGCACGGCAGCGGCACGGGGCGGAGACACGGGCCGCGCTGCTAGCGCTACTGATGTGCTCGGTTGGGCTGCGGCCACGGCTGTTCCAAGGCCCAAGCGAAGGGGCGCGCTTGCGCGGGGGCTGGGGCAGGCCGTAAGCGGGCTGCTGGCTAGCTGGGCTAGGCCAGTCGGGCCAGCCAGTGTGCATGGGGAGAGGAGGAGGGGAGCGGCTGCGGGTTGGGCCAAAAACTAGCGTGGGCCAAAAGCGGGGAAGGAAAACGAGAGAAAAAGAGAAAGTTTTTCTTTTTGAAAAGGATTTTCAAATAATTTTGAATTCATTTTTGAGAGGTATTTTGAGGTTGATGGTGGAATATGTTTTTAGACTATTTTGAAAGTCAAAATATCTTTTCTTTTAAACACATTTTTAAATATTTTTCAACCTTAAATTTTGAATTAATTTTGAAATACATCTTTTGAAGTTTTATTTTCAAAAACGAAGAGGGCCTAATCGCGGCTTGCTCGAATTTTAGGAATTCATTTTCACACAACCAAAGACAAAGTAAAGGCACAACAACAATCAAACACACTCACATTAACTTTGTTAAAGTTTTATAAATCCACATTTTTCTCATTTTGCAATGACAACAATTAAATAAATCTTGGAAAAATTTAGAAAAAATATTAAATCCTTTATTTTATTTAGTGTTTTCTATTCACAACCCAAAATAGGAATTTTGGGGTGTTATAGATCTACCCCACTTAACATGAATCTCGTCTCAAGATTTGAAGAGACTTGGGAGAATGATAAAGCAGATCATCAAGGTTGTTTCGAGATTCATGACGAGATATGATGAAAGAATTAAGTGTTTGCATAAGCTGAAAAGAATGATCAAAATTCATCTTCAAGCTTGTTTCGAGATTTATGAGATGCGATCAAAGGATTGAAGATCGACATAGGGTAAAAAGAAAGATAATGATTGATGACAAGGAAAGATAAACAAGCGGGATAAATATTCGATCTTTAGATCCCTGTATTATGATGAGGTGCAAGGGCAAGAAGCAAAGATTAACAAGAGATGATATAAAAGATAAAGATAGATCTTATGGTGCTCACAATTTCCTTAATAAGAAGATAAATATTAGAAAGGATTAAGAATTAGCAAAGGTTGAAAAGGAGGACGAAGATTGATCTTCAAGTCTTCGTGCTTCATTGATTCCATGTCTGAGATATAAGATCAAGGATCAAAGTTAGCAAAAGATGCTAAGAAGATAAAGATTTATCTCTAGTCCTTCATGTCTTGAAACTTGAGATACTCGAGATCGATGCCAGTAGTGGAGCTACCCCACTTTAACAAAGTATTTGCTTACCCTCGTATACATGCATGAGAACTTCATCTTGTCGGAAAACTATCTTTAGAGGTTTCCTTTGCAGATTACCAC